AATGGTGTAGTGTTCTATCCTGCCAACTCTGTTTAAGATTCCAGAAGGAGTTGAAGATCTTGACGTAACTCAATTTTAGACTGCCTGCATAAAAGTTGTAAGATATTGAAATAAACTTTTTGGCCCTTCAGTTCCTTTGGTTAGGAATCACCTCTCTGTTACTCCTATAAAACTTCTGTTGGTTCACTCTCATCCAAGTCTCTAGTCTCATCCAAACATAGGGGCAGACATTCAAAAAGCCCAAGCTTGAATTGATTCAATCTTTACAGGTTAGTCTAACCTGCGCAGATTGAACCCATTTGCAAGTGAATAGACATTCACTTTTGATACCGGAAATGCAGGCACATGCTTGTAGTGGCTTAGGCTAAAAGCCAGGAGGTGCTAGAGCGAGCCCTCCCTTTACCTTCCACAGCAGCCACAAAGCTAGAGGGAAGCTGACCTGGGGGACATGGCCAGGCCCCCTGGCAGGCTGCTAAGTATAATTGGGGAGGGGTTTAAACCCCCACCCTGGCCTGCAGGGATCCCTGTGCCTGAAGGCGGGGGTGGGGAGGAGGAGGAAGCAGCCCTTGTCAGGCTAGTCCCCAAGCAGGGGAGCAGAGCAGTGGCCAAACACTGGCCTGGGCAACGCCTCAGTCAAAGGGGATTAAACTTCCCTTTCTCCCTTCTCAGATACAGGCTCAGGGATCTGCCTGACTTTTCCCCCTGCTCATGCGGCGGAGAGCCTGGCCAGAGCCAGCTAGCATGACCTCACCACCCACCTGGGGCTGAGGCTGGGGCAGAGCTGAGCCAGCCCATGGGTGCTGCTGAGGGCAGATGCAGAGGGGCTGGCCCAGGCTGGGCCACGGGAGCTGGGTCCTTCCCACTGGGGGGTGCAGCTCAGGCTGGGGCTGCAGGAGCTGTGTGGCAGGATTACTCCCAGCTCCCTGCACCCAGGCCAGGCAGGGCTGTCATGGAGCAACATCCAGCGGGGCCAGCCCAAGGTGGACCTCGGGGGCAGGGCCCTTCCCAGCTGGTGCAGCTCTGTGACAGCCCGGCCCAGTGGTACGAGCTGCCAGTGTAGCGGCAAGCAAGGGGTTACCCAGGCAGGAGTTGCTCTGCCTGGCCAGGCAGACCCTGGTTGCAGTCCCTGGGGAAGAGGGGAGGAGTGGGGAATAAACCCCTTCCCTACCCTTTTAGCCTTAGGGGGCATGTCAGGCCAGTGTCTAGCCATGCCCCTGGTCCTGCTCCAGCTATAGAGCAGAGGGACAGGGCCAGCCTTTCTGTCTGGAGCAGGCAGCACAGCCCAACCCAGGGCTGAAAAGTATGCTGGGATGTTAGGAGACTGGTTTAACTTGAACCAGGGAGGGGTCTGGGACAGAAGTTCTGTAAACTGGTTTGACACAGATCAATTAAGTCTAATGCTACATTCAACCAGGTTTTTCTTAAACCAGTTTTGCCCATTTTGAAACTGGTTTCTCTGCATTGAACTTATGTTCTGTTACAGGTTTAAACCAGTTTCTGATCACTTAAACCAGTTTATGTGTAACTGCTTTCCCCAGCCTGAGAAACAAGATACTGCACTGTGGAGATTCAGTTAGTGAGACAGAAGTGGGAGTTGCCACAACTTAAAAAAATCTCAGCCTCCTTTCTAGCAGACTTACATACCCATTGTGCCAGATTCATGACAAAAAATAATTTTATAACCTCAGTAGTTTGGAAGTAGGAAAGTACAGTTAACAGGAAGGTACCATGGTAGAGAATGCGGTTTGAATGACCAGACAGAAAAGAAATAATGAAGGAGTCGGATAGTGTTCCTACACAACGCAAGGTCATGAAATGACTTCCAGTGAGTAATATGACTCTCCTATTTGTATTCAGGCAGGAGGAATTCAATATTCCTCTGAGTTGGAAATTTCAATTAAGAAAAAAAAGTATAAAAATGTGTTAACTTTATAGGGTTTCAGCTCCAAAACACCATTTAAACAAAAGCAAGTGCAAACATACAATAACATCATTTCTCTGAAATGAGGCAGAGGTTGCACTGCCATTGCCTAGCCAAGAAGCTGATTCCCAATTTGAATGTCCATTTACATGCACTAGTGTTTCCTTTCCTAATTTTCAACAACTTAGCAACACAAAGCAGTTTGGTGTTTATGTATATACTAGCTCATTGCCCGTCAACAATGACGAATTTCAGGCAGTGTTTACATGCCCCCATCTCACCCCCTGCTCACCCTTCAGGGCTGGCCATGTAAAGACTCCCTCTGCCACTGCTGCCTACTCCTCCAGCCTTTGGTGCAGGGGCTCCCCCCTGCCCGCCTCCACCTTGCAGCAGGGCTTCCCCTGCCTCCCCTCCCCTCCCCACTCCCCTCCCTGTTAGCGGTTGTCGGGGCCAGGTGGCAGAGGGGGCGCTGCCACCATGATCCCCGCTCCCCACCCTGCTTCCCTCCCTTCCTTCCTTCCCTGAAACTTGGCCCCGACAACAGCCACAACCATGCCTGCCTTTGCCTCCCCCCGGGCCCACACAGCCTCATTCCCTCCCTGCTGCCTCCCCCTCCATACTAGCTATTCTTGGGTGCCCCCTTCCTGCTCCCCTCCCTCCCTCCGTCTCTCCCTCCCTCCCTCCCCGCCGCCCCACCCTGCCAACAGCCGTCATCGTGACCCCCGCCTTCACCTCCCCCTGCCCCTCTCTTCTACCTCCCTCCCTGCCCACCACCTCCCCCTTCCTGCTGGCTGTTTTGTGGG